ATGTATGTGGGTATGTATGCATGCATGAGTGGGGGTATGTATGTATGTATGTATGTTTGTATGTATGTATGCATACACATATGCATATGCATATGCATATGCATATGTATATGTATATGCATATGTCCCTGTATATGTATATGTATATGTTTATGCAAATGTATATGTATATGTATGTGTATATGTATATGTATATGTATTTATGCATGTATGTAAGTATGTATGTACTGTATGTAAAAGGAATGTAATGGAATGCAATGGAATGTAGTGGAATGTACTATATGTAATGGAATGTAGTGGAATGTAGTGGAATGTAGTGGAATGTAATGCATGGTAATGGAATGTTTTGTCAGTATGTCTGTCTGTCCGTCTGTCCGTCTGAATGCTCGGGTCAGCCTGGTATTGCAGGGCTCTCTTACTGCTGCTTCAGCTACAGCTGTAGTTGGGCTACCCTGAAACCTCAAGTGTCAAGCCCAGACCTAAGCACCGAATCGTCCTAACCTCCCGAAGCGCTAAATCCAAAGGGTGCGGAATCCAATCTGCGATTGTGCGAAGGCGCCGACTCCATCGCACCTCGCTCGATGCGGAGGTCTGCCACCCTCAGGCCACAGCGCTTGGCCAACTCCTCGTGGCTTTAGGGATTAGATGGCTCTGGGCTTTGGGTTTCTTGAAAACGATGCTAAGGGTTTACGTGGGGCACACAGTCTTGCATTGCAGGGGCCAAGTATTCCATGTCGTTTAGGGCTTTGTGATCAGGGCCAGGATGCGCCTAAAAAGCATACTTCCTCGCGGTATCAATTATTCTTATCTTGAAGGCGTCACCCTCAGGGCTCCATTTTGCGGGCTTCGGAAATCAATACATAACTGTAAGACACGAAATAACTTCGAAATAACTATAATACATGTTGGAAGAACATGTCATCCCCCAGCCTGGGCACAGGGGTTTGGAAACCCGATGGAGATACTCGAGACTCTTGCAAGCAAGGTTGGCGTTGAATTCAAGTCCAAACTGAGGTATTAGTATCACTAGTGTTGCCACCATTGCGATTAGAATGCCTGCAGGTCTCGTCCTATGTTCGCTGTTTCAAAGCCTGTTGAATGATTGCTGCCAATTACGTTACAATGTTACTGCTTCTGCTGTGTGTAGCGAGCGACATATGTGCATAAGCCACGTGTGCAGAACATATGAGCTCAGTATCAAAATCATACCATGATGAACTGACGCTATCTACAATCATGCACATAATGGCGATGTTGTCATAAGTGGCACTGTAAAGTGTCCAATGAGTACTACGAGCAGAACTCCATGCAGACTTCCGAATCTGGGATATTTGCAAAATTCCAGATGTGACGGGCCAACCAATTCCAAAACTCAAGATTTCCATGTACATATAGGTCTGACAGACAGATAGATATATGTATCTATTTGTGATATGTATATATATATGTATAACACATCTCTCCCTCTCTCTCTATATATATATAGGTGTGTGCATGTATCTATGTACGTATGTACGTATGTACGTATGCATGTATGTATGCATGTATGTATGCATGTATGTATGCATGTTGGAGGCCCCTCTTGCAAGTTCTAATTAGGACTTCGGGTTAACGGCTCTGCTCAGGGTTTATACGGGTTCGGTGTTTAGATTCAGATTAGGAGAGTAGGATTCAAACTGGGCTTTCGGGGCTTAAGGCTTGGAAGAAGCTCAGGGCGTGGTATTGTAGGAACGTTCCGGCACCAAGAAGACTTGAATCCTAATCTTAAGCCCTCAAAACCTTAAACCCTAAACCCTAGATCTTAAACCCTAAAACCCCAAACCCTAAAGGCTTAAAGTATACAGCTCAGCCTTTGGGAATTATGTGAGCTCCAGCAGCCTCGAATCGAATCCTTTAAGCGACACGTAGACTCGGCTTGAATGAGCCCTAAACCCAAAACCCCTAAACCCAAAACCCCTAAACCCCTCAACCCCTAAACCCTCAACCCCTAAACCAATCAACCCCTCAACCCCTAAACCCCTCAACCCCTAAACCCCTAAACCCCTCAACCCTTAAACTCGACCTCCAAAGCGACGAGGGGCGCGCATGTACCAATTCATGATCGCCTTGTCCACTGCCGTCAGCTGGCTGTCGTCATCGACCTTCAGACAGCAGCCCACCCAATCTGGTGTGTATGTATGTGTGTATATATGTATGTATGTATGTATGTATGTATATATATATAATACATGAAATAATGTGTATATATATATATTACATAATATGTATGTATATATATATATGTATATGTGACATACATACACAGTGTTCTTCGCACTGTGCCTTAGATAAAGGTTTAGGATTCGGAAACTGCGCCGCTAGAACAAAAGATTACCCTTTTCGGATTCTACACATGTGCTCACGGGTCCTGTTCTTGGAAGGGCTCTCTAGGTTCACCGGTATCCCCTTCGTACTGAGGGTACCCTTTCTCCTACTATTCGGTTTCATCAAGGGGAACCCAAAAAGGAAATTGAAAAGGGCAAATGGGTACTACGGGGGAACCCAGTTCCGGCACTGGCGGTTGTGAACATCAGCGCGCCAACGCGAAATACTAAACCCTGAAGAACCATGTTGCTTTTCCTCCGAGCCTTCAAAGCTACTCCTAGACAAGGGCCATACAAAGAGGTACCTAAAGCCCTGAACCCTAAACCCTAAACCCAGGTACCTAAAGCCCTGAAGGCTAGATCCCACAACTGACTTTTTTTGAGCCTCTTCCGAGCCATCCAATGGCCCGGAAGGTGACCTCTTCCACCTATTTCTTGAAGTTTACCCCTCGGCCCCTGCGTAGTTCCTTTTTTAGGATTGCCTTATAGGATTCTAAATATAAAAAATAGAAAGGAACTACCTAGGGCCCTATGGGTAACCTCTACTTCGATGCAGGACTTACGGTTTGGGGTCTATGCTTGACCATCCAAGGTGCCATGGACTTGTCGATGGGCTCGTCTCGGATGTTGCCCCCGACAACCTTGATGAACCTCGTTCTTGGCCATTGTATACATGATTATATGAATATTAAGCCGTGCATGGAAAGGGTTCCGTTAAAGGAGCCCTATTATAGAGTCCTATAGAAATCCTCTAAAGGTGACCTTACTATAGAACCCTATAGTACCCCTTTAAGTATAACGGAACCGCCTTAAACATAACCCTAAGACGCCCTGTAGAACCCTCTTACAAGCCTATAGATCCCTTGAAGATCCGTTAATTTTTCTACAGCCAAACCGCATCTACCTGTCCACAAAACTCTTCAAACCCCGAGCTCCAAAATCGGGCTGAGTCACGTATACATACATGTATGTATGTATGTATGTATGTATGCATGTATGTATGCATGGATGTATGTATGTATGTATGTATGTATATGTAATGTATGTAATGTATGTAATGTATGTAATGTATGTAATGTATGTAAGTACGTAAGTATGTAAGTATGTAAGTATGTATGTATGTATGTATGTATGTATGTATGTATGTGCATGTGCATGTGCATG